AGTCACCTTTTTTCACGGTGGACAACGACAAGGGGGCCGAGGCCCTTCAACCAACGGACACGCCGTGTCCTCGAATTACGACCGGGCCGGCATCTTCGCCATTTCGACGGCCGGTTTTGGGCCGCCGTGCCGTGCCGTGCCGCGCCTCGCGAGAAGTGTTATTCGATAAAGCGGAGCCGCTGCTGCGGGTCACAGACACTCATTACACGGAGCCAGGCAGCAAGGCGCAGCAAGGCCTCGGCCGGGCTCACTGCCCCAATCGAATTGGAGTGAAGTGAATTGGCGTTGACGGAGGCAACCCGAAGATCCAGAGGAAGACCGGCGGGGGTGTGGAGGGGGAAGGGGTGTGGAAAGGGGGGAGGGGGCAGAGGGGGAAGGGGGTGGGAAAGGGGTGTGGAAAAGAGGGGGGCAGAGGGGGAATGGGTGAGGAAAGGGAGGGGGGCTGAGGAGAAGGAGTGAGGAAAAGGGGGGCAGGCAGAGGGGAAAGGGGATAGACAGACGTGGGGGCGTACGCAGAGAGAGGGGGAGAGCAGGGGGTACGGATCGGAGGAGGGGGCGATAGGGGGGCGGCCGAGGCGGTTAGAGGCAGTCGGATGACAAGAATGGTGGAGATGGAGCGGAAAAGGGGTGCCCGGAGAGCACTGGAGGCGGCGGGGCCGAAAGGCCGAAAGGGTTCGCCGGTTCGGCCTTTCGCGGAGATGGATGGTGCGGGCTGGCGAGGCGGCCGGCCCGGCGCATGGCGGGGCAGCCTTCATTTTATGGACCGAATTATTTGAGCGCGCTCGCGTTTGCGCGGCTCGAGCGGTGCAGGTCTCGCGATCGCCAGGCGTTATCTGTAGGGGTGCGAGGGAGAGAGAGAGAGAAAGAGGGGAGGAGAGAGAGAAAGGGGATACCGTAAACCGGGGTAACTTGAGACAGCAAGGATAACTTGAGACACTTCTGCTTTTCCACCTTTTCGGAGCTGCCACCTGGCTCGGCACATTCGGAGGTCAAAACTGCCCCAGCACTTTTTTTCAAACTTGTTTGGAAAGACGATTAAGCGTTTGCATGGCGGGTTAGGACCAAGCTGGTCAGTTCTATAACGGTTTTTCAATTTTAGTAAATTTGACAATTTTAGAGAAGTGTTACAAGCCTCCCTTGGTACTCGAAACACGTCTTGCTGAGACCCAAATGACCATAGTATCTTTCAACCCCATTATTTGAACATTCTAAATGCAGCATTGGTTTTGACGGAAACCCATCATTCATCGGGTAATACTGACTTTTATAGAAAATGGTAACTGTGCGGGGTAACTTGAGACACCAAATTTCATTGAATTTGACGAAAGTTGAGTGGCGTAACTTGACACTGGCACCTCCATGTACTACAGGGTGGTTTAAAGTAACGGACCTCTCCGTTCTATGATCAAAACTAAGCCGCATTTGATCGGGAATCACTTTTTCAGACAGTGTAGAGGGTCCCAAGTGGATGTGCAGCTTAGAGCTGGAGTGTTTTCTCAACTACTCACGGACCAGATGAGACATAATAAATCTTGAAGTCTCAAAAGATGGGGAATTTAATTACCTTTCCAACGAGCTAAATGTCATTGAAATCGGACAACTTATAGCCCAAGGACCGTCGATTTTTTGAAGAAAAACAACTGTAAAAATAGTTAAGGGATTTTGAGTAAATTTTAAAAATTGACTAAGACTATATACCTTTGCAGGAATGGACTTGTGTGCGTAGAAATAACGAAAAATGTCTTAACAGGTGTCAGGGTTGAATGCGAAATGAGAGAATCGCTGTACTTAGTTGACAGGGTTGGATGTGAAATGGGAGAATCGTTGCGCTTCTGAAGTGCCGTTATCCCTCAAATTACCAAATGTAACTTTGATGAAAAAATCTTAATGTAAGGATCAAAAATCTTCTAATATATTCCACAAGTAGTACTTTTCATGGAAAATAAGTTAAATGTCCCAGAAAATCAGAATGGACTGGCAAAAACCCCACTTCCGTGAAAAAGCAAAGTGAAAACTAGGAGTGTCTCAAGTTACCCCAAATGACGGGGTAACTTGAGACAACTTTAGAGGCCCATTACTCTCATTTTAGGTGACCCCCAAAAACTTCGTGGGGTCCAAACCGAATGTTACCATGTGAAATTAAACATAGTTGGGATTCGGGTTGGTGAGAGAAGTTTTGTGGACACACGGTCCAAAAAACGTGAAATATTGTCTCAAGTTACCCCGGTTTACGGTAAGAGAGGATCGAAGGGAGAGAGGGAGGGACAGATACAAGAGACATAGAGAGAGGGAGAGAGAGAGAGAGGGGGGGGGAGACACGGAAGCATCCAGCGCGTGTGGGCCGACCACGGGGCGGCCGCTTTGCTTTGGCGCTGTCGCGGCGTGCTGGCCGTCCACGCGGCAAGCATGCACGGCAAGCGCACGGGAGTCACGGCCGCGACAGCCGGCAGCAGTTTGCCCGGACTCGCAAAGTTTCGGCAACGCTCTGTCGGAAATAATTTATCGTCGTATGACAAAACGAAAACAAAAAGTCAACAAGACACAAGGACAAAAGCGACGCTTCGTATTCATAACAAAATCGGATGGTTTCCCGTTGTTCTTTTGTGAGAGAGGGACGTCAAAAAGTTGTCGGCGTGGCAGCAGTGACAGGTAATGAAAGAACAAGCAGGGTGCCCCGCTGATATATCACCGCCGCCCCCCCTGCCAAACTACTTCCTTGCCGCACCATATTGCTTTTGCAATGTAGGAGCCCCGGCGATGCATGCGTGCGATGGCTGGTGTCGGCCGAATCCTTTTATGCCGGTGTTGCGCGCCTTTTCGCAACGGTGTGGAATTTTCTTTTCTTTTTCCTCCACACTTTAACTGTCTTGAAGAGAAATTTTTCATATTACGAAGGAAACGGCGCAGGTACGGTATCATACGAACGTGGTATATTTTTCGTATGTCAATGGGTTATCTTCGAATCCTCCGTAGAAAATCCCAAAAAAGCATCGTATTTTGGAGACAATTTGTTTCGTATGACGCTTGTGGCGAGTTCACTGTACTCTTGCATTTTTGCGAGACATTCACTGTGCAGCGTCCGTACTTTTGGGGACGAGACCGCCGCGAGCCCGGGCGGCCCGCATTGAAAATTCTAGTGTACACTGCACTGAAAAATTAAGAGTGTACTCAGTACACACTTAAGTCCTCTATGTGTGTACTTATTACACACTCAAGTTTTCAGTGTGAGTATACTTACAAAACACATGTACTCATGCACGATTTTTCAGAGCACTTCCGCCAGTGTAATGGCCGGTCTGGATCGGCCAGTGGCAAGGCAAGCCGCACCGCCTGGGGAGCGCCTGTGAACGGCAGGGCGGGCAAGCCCGCATCACAGCATCGTTCTACGGGCCGGCCCGCCTGGCAGGCGTTAGACGTTGCAGTCAGGTCGCAGCTCACCACGAATCAATGCATGTCGACACAGCAGAACTGCTGCAATCAGGTAAAATCACTGCAGATAACACTAATCAATCTCTGACAGATTCGACGGCAAAGCAAAGAAGGTTTTAAAAGTAGGGTCACAGGATGAACACTGAGAAAACCTTGCGAACTGTTTTAGTCCTTACAAAGAAAAGCAGCTTGGTATAACGAGCATACATGAGCTTACAAAGAAAATACTTCGTAATACACGAAATGTTACTTCGTGTTACAAAGTAAATTTATTTGTGTAATGTACACACTAAATGTTTATGTACAATTTTGTACGTGGTGATGCATAATTTTAAACCTGCGTACCGTCGTGCATAAAATTGTGCGTGAATTTGCATAAATTCGTGCATTTTCACGCATAATATTATGCACATTCCACGTATGCACAAAATCGTGTGGGTTTCACGCACAAAATTCTACCTAAACATTTAGTGTGTATGATCAAAATACTTCACAAGGATTCAAGCGTGAAGGAAATAGGCACTTCCTGAGGCACGGCTCTCTTGAACGAGAAAAATTTGCCAATGAGTATCTCAGATAGTCTGTGTGACCCGCAGTCGCCTTCATTTTTGGGCCCAATAACCTTAGTTATTTTTGCGCATTTTGTGTGAGGGCATAAAATTTGTGCGTAAGAGTGGGTCTACACTAAATTGTATAAAATTAAGAGTTTTCTTACTTCGCTAAGCGCATGTTGGTGGCGCAGGTCCGCATTGCTATACCTAGACATGGTCTGCTTGATCTACCTTCAATATCCACGGTTCCGATATCATTTAGTGGTTCGCGGCCGAATTCGAATTTAATTTTAAAGAACTCTGTATGTTTTCGTTATTTTCAAAGCTTTACACGTTTAAAACCTAACGCAGTATTTTGAGCATACATAATACAAACTAATTTACTTTGTTGAACGAAGTAATAGTTCGTAAATTACGAAGTATTTTCTTTGTGAGCTCATGTTTGCTCAAAATACTTCGTTTCGACAAACTGCTTTTCTTTGTAAGGCCTAAAATAGTTTGTAAGGTTTTCTCAGTGCGTGTGTGGCGTAAATCTTTGACATCCTGTAAGCGCTTAATTTTAATGCCTCTGTTTCACCAGTGTAGTTTCTTCCACAATTCGCGTTTGGCAAAGGAGCAGAAGCTGGAAAGCAACAACAAAAAATGCCTGCCGAAAGGTAACGACCCGGGTACACGACCCGCAGCCCCACTGCGAAGGGAGAGAAAGGCACTCGCCAAAAGTATTCCGAAGGAAAGGCGAGGTGGGTACAACTAGGTGAAACCTACCTCCTACTTCTAACCGTAACATACACCTTTAGGTGAGTTTACTTCATCAACTTTCTTAAACACCTGTAGGGGAGAATGTCTAGCCGAGCCCGCAGCGTGTCCATCAGAGTCGTTCAACGCTCTTCACATTGCATGAAGCCATTTCATTCCAACCCCACTACTCACTCTTCATTCGCAATTCAACACTTGGGCGAAGCCGTCCCCGACCGCGAATAAACCGCGTCATCGGCCCTCCGCTTCCCGTTTGGGGTCTTCATGTCCGGCCTTGGCGCCCGCCGCTCCGCGCCTCTCGCTTTTCGCGTTGACAATTTCTTTTTATCTCGGCCATCTCGCGGGCCTGGCCGTGAGCCTGCCTCGCCCAACTTTCTGCGGCCTCGTCACCCAAAGTGAGACGGCGTGGCGGTGCGTTCCGCGAAAGTGGCCGACAAGACGGTAACAAAATTGTTGAGCTTGTTGAGGAGGGCGGCCCGGCCTTGTCGCCTGGCCAATGGCGTCCGAGGGTCCGTCCTCGCCGCGGGGCCCCAGGACTGAGAGTCGTTGTCGTCGCTCTGTCTCTTTCGCATCTCATGCGCAGTGGGCCAGAAGACCGGCGCAGGCGGCCAAAATTCTAGATGCGTTTTCAGCTCCAGAGTCGTTAAACAGGACTCTAACGAAACGTGTGACCCCATCAATGGATTCCTCGTCCTAAGAGGAATCCATTGGTAGGGTCACACGTTTGATTCGAGTCCTATTTGACTCTCGACTTAAAAACGCGTCCGGTGTTTCGACCGCCTCCACCGGTCTTCTGGCCCACTGTGGGGCGCCCTCTGCGCGACAAATCAGCGGACTGTGCGCGAGGTCTCGCGAAACACAGCGCAGCGCGGCGGGCAGTTCCCGCCAAAACGGCGACGCCACTCATGAATGCGGAGCTTGTGAATGCGATTCTTGGGGCGCGCGTGGAAGAGACGCGGCTCGTCTAAGTCGAGCCCCGTGGGGCGCTGTTTGCATTCGGAAGTGGCCCCCGCGTCGCCACTGGGGCAGTGTTACGTACGCACTGGCAGCCCGGTCGGAGCAGCTGTGAATCGCTTCTCTGCGGCCGAGGCAAGTTCAGGGCACAGAGAAGAGAACCGACTGACAGTGAGAGAGATCTTGTCTCACGAGACGTGGTGACATCCGTAGAGCGCTAGCCACTGTGAGGAATTCTGTTCTTCTGTTTGAGCGTACTCATTCCGTACCATATGAACTTCAATAAACGGTTATGTCTTAAAAAGTACAGTTCCGTACTTGGCTGGTACGGACGGTGTGTGGTGCAGGCTAATTGTTGAGCAGACTTGTTCTGTACCATTTTCTCTCTGAAAGAGTTGTTTTATGTTCTTTGAGAGAAGTGGTCACCGATTGTGCGTGACTGGCGTAACGTTATAAAGGGACGGCCCCTTGTTATCCGTGGGCTCTTCACTTAATATCCTGTCGTTCTTCCTGAAATCTGCCCATTTCGGACTTAAGAGGGACTTGTTGTGAAACGGAACCTTTTCTTTTTTTCAGGTTTTCTGAACTAGTGGGACTTGATCTTCCCTTCGCGTGGCAAGGTACTGACCGTGTCTGCGTTGGACCTCCATGGTTGGCAGTTTCTCCTGAGCTCAACATCATCGTCATCCATGTAAGTATACTCGTCGTTTCAAGCGTCCGCTTCGACGCGTATTCTCGTTTGTGCAGGCTGTGCGGGCATATTAGGAATGCGTTACCGGTTCGTCCACCTACTGCGTAACATTTTGCTCAGACTTCAGTGCGTGAGGCAATAAAACGTTACGGAACCTACAGCGCTTCACACGCTCAAAGTTTGGAATTGTGGTGTAAAATTTTATAGTGCACTGTCAGTGCAAAGTAACGTGGATCCCCCTTCATTTTTATGTACCCTTCACTGTAGTTCTAGGTCCGGGTTAAACCGTACTTCTTATGAGACCGTCCGTAGTCTTAATATATCAATGCTTGAAATCTTAACTAAGAGTCCTCGCGACGAAGCGATCAATGAATGTCAATTTGTCATCATAGACTAGAAATCATTGAAGAAGATTCGTCTCGACGAGACGTTGAAACCGTACTCAAAATATGCCGTGATTTTGTTCGCAGTGTAGAAGAAATTCGTGCTAACCAAATACGAAACAAATTTATGTATATGACGAATCTTTGACTTTTCTTTGTAAGTTTCAAAGATGCACTGGTAAAACTAAAGCGTAATTACTCTATGCTTGAGGTTACTCTTGAAATAAGGTATGTACTTGCAATTCCCCCATGCATTTAGATTGGAGGAATATTGGCAGATGAGCCTTTTACGCTTGATTTCAAGCGTAAACTGATTACGCTTGAAAAACAGTGGGTGGTACTACGCTTTAGTTTCACCCGTGTGGAACTTTACATTACGAGTCTAGTCTTCATAATATATTTGCACAAAATTCTTCATAATGTTGGAGTTTGTTTTTTCCGTAACACTCTCAGAGTGTGATCAATGGATCCTGTATCTGAAATAATAGTAGTATGACATAAAAATTGTCGGGACCAGCCGTACTTTCCCTTAACAGTGGGCCTGTGACCTGCGACGCTTCTTATAGAGACCTCTTCTTATGTTTGTTGCAGAGGATCGGAGTCCGTAAAGTCCTTGCCAGGATAAGACTTCCCCATTACCTCGTCGAAGAACCCCGTGATCAAAAAGGTATGTCGTCCTTCGCTGATTGCCCGAGCTGTTCCTCACTTCGGGAAACGTGTGTACACGCAGTCCGGGGATCATTCGCAATTCTTTCATAATTTTATCGAAAGTCCTTAAAATTTCATTGAAATTTCATCATTGCCTTGAGGAGGTGCCACAAAACACTCAAAAAGTAACGAAAATGTTCGAAAATCGTCATTCACTGTTTTCGTTGGAATCCAGGGTTGTGTGTACACACTAAATGTTTAGGTAGAATTTTGTACGCGCAACCCGCACGATTTTGTGCATGCGTGGAACATGCATAGTATCATGCGTGAAAATACATGAATTTATGCAAACTCACGCACAATTTTTTGCACGACGGTACGCAGGTTTCAAATTATGCATCACCACGTACAAAATTGTACATAAACATTTAGTCTGTACATCTCGGACAACCCCTCGCGATCGCCGCGTGTACGGTCAGATACATGGCAGGGAACATCGTGTTGCAGGTTGCTGGAAAAGATCCATTGGACCATGGCCAACGAATGCAGTGTGGATGCTGCAGCGCTGCAGTTGCTGAATGGAACTGGTAGCCGTCGATCAGGGAAGAAGCCCTTTGAGTGCGCGGTTTGCGGCAAGAAATTTGATCGCGCAAGTTACCTCGATAAACATTTAAGAAGCCACACGGGAGAGAAGCCTTTTAAGTGCACGGTCTGCGACAAGAAATACAGTTACGAAGATAGTCTTAGACTTCATCTTAGAATCCATACAGGTGTTATGCCTTTCGAGTGCACGGTTTGCTTGAAAAAGTTCCGTATAGGGAGTCAATTGAGAGAGCATTTGAAAGTACACACGGGAGAAAGGCCCTTTCAGTGCACGGTTTGCTTGAAGTTCCGTATAGGGAGTCACTTGAGAGAGCATTTGACACTCAAAAAAATTTCAATACAAAATTCTGTAACATGGTTACGCAGTAATTTCCACTACAAATGTTACAGAATTCTGTATCAGCACTGATACAAAATTTTGTATCACGCGTTACGGTAAGCTGTTTCCCGGTTGCAGAATTCTGCAATGCAAAAATCAGAAAAATTTGTCGTTATATTTTATGTCGGTTTGCTTGAAGGAGTTCCGCAAAGGGAGTCAATTGAGAGAGCACGTGAGAGTACACACGGGAGAAAAGCCTTTTCAGTGTACAGTTTGCAAGAGGGAGTTCACCATAGGAAGTCATCTCAAAAGGCATCTCAAAATGCACACCGGAGAAAAGTCTGTAGCCTGCTCTGTTTGCAATAAGAAGTTCCGTACATCATCCACCCTCAAAGATCATTTCAGAACCCACACCGGCGAGAAGCCCTATGAGTGCGCGGTTTGAAAGAAGAAGTTTATTTCAAGGGGTAATCTCAGATATCATCTCAGAATCCATACGGGCGACTTCCCAGAAGAGGTTTGTATTAAGGAGTCACCTTAAAAATACGCTGGTGCAAAGCTTTTCTGAGTCCGCGGTTTGCAACAAGAACTGTATGTAATTCATCTTCAGAACTTATCTTTGAAGCAACAAGCCTTTCGAGTTCTCTGTTTGCACAAAGGAGTTTATTGCCTGAGCGATAGCGAAGCCCGTTACTCAGGTGGGGTTGAAAAGTTTTTCCTGTCTGCGTGCGTGTGTGTCCGCACTACTCCTCCTGAACGGCTCGGCCGATCTCGGTGAGATTTTGCACACTTTTTGGGTATGTCCTTGGCTCGGCACACGCGAAATTTCACCATCCTAGCTCAACTAGTTCAGTTTTTATAGCCAAAAAACACCTAAAAAACGGCGAAAAATCGAGTTTTCCGTAGGCAGATCTCTTCTGTCTTAAAAAAGGGGGGCCTGGGGGGCGGGGCCCCCCCGCCCCAACATGTTAAAAAGTTCCAAGGGTCAAGATCGTGTTATTTGAAGATGAAGTAAGTCTATCTAGAATGAAGGGGGGTCCAGCCCCCCAGAAAGAAACAAGTTAGAAGTAACCGACGACAGACAAGCCATTGCCTGCCGAAGGCAGGCTAGCGCCGCAGGCCAAGGTAGGTACGCCAGGCGCGGATTGTAGGAACAGGCAGCGAGACATCGCGAAGCCTGTTACGACAAGACGCGGTCTGGCGTAATCCTACCTTGTAGTACACGGTGTGATCCCGAATAACTCAACGTAGAACTCTCACGGGCGTAAAGCACTTGTGCACTGTTGGCGACTAGAATTTCCGCAAACTCCTCCAATTAATCTGTAATTCTCAAATCATTTGGCAAGAAGTCACCTGAATGTACACTTTGCACTACATAGTTCACGCTTGAGGGTCGCAAATAAGAATGCGATGGAGAGGGACGTTATTTTAAGTTTCAACTGATGTGACTCTTGCGTGTGCTCTTATGTCAATTGCCCTTGTCTATTGTGGTTAGATCACCATACCATCTTCGGCACTGCATTTGATTTGGTGTGTGTGTGTGTGGGGGGTTATTTCTATATTGTAAAGTCATGCTTGTCAGTCGAATATGAATTCAAGTTTCGGTTAGTGAAAGTTAATTGTAGATTTGCACGTTATTGATCTTCGACTACATTATGGAATGGACTTACTCTCTCCAGCGGTTTTCGCTTCATTTTATATCGACATGCTTGTTAATCGAGTATATTTTTTTGTGTTTTTATGTGAGACAAAGAATTTATTTTCATCCTAACGATAATTTTTGGACGAGCTACACTACACTGTTAAACTCTTATTCAAGTGTGGACCACTGTCAACGGCCTCGCGTGTCTTTATTCTCGAGGTCATGTTTGTTTACAGTTAAGTGGGATGGGGACTTGTACTGTTGCATGCGCACTGTTGTGAGTGAAATATTTGTGGGACTTGTTTGTCTGGTGCTATTTTGTTAGAACTATCAGTCATTGTTTTTTTTTCTTTTCGACGTTGGAGGACCCATTTATTTTGTCCACGGGGCGTTTTCTAACAGAATTTTTTTTTCTACGGACCCCAGGATGGACATTTCGCTCCCGCCTATTAATCCTTTTCATAATATAATAAAAGTCCAGAAAATCTTAAAAATTTATCGTGGAAATTTTCCGTAAACGACTAAAACATAAATTTGCAACAATCAAGCACCCTTATCCGTTCACATTTTCCAGAAACGTTTCGAAGAAAAAATGTGCCACTCCTCAAAACTAAACTTCCTGCCTCATCAAAGTGACAAAAACTAATCACTGTTCTAAGAAAATAATAAAACATGAAGAAAAATTCTCGATGAAAACGTCCCACTGCCATTATACCAACCCCCCTTTGCCCATTGTGGAAAAAATTTAAAAAAATCCAAATTTCCCACTCTTTTGAATTTGTTTTTTTAATTTCTTATTGTAAAAATTTTTCCAGCGAAAAAAAATTTAAAAGTTTTCCGGTTGGAAAATTTTTGGGTTTCCCCCTTTTAAAATCCGGGGTAAAAAGGAATGGCTTAAAACTCCCCTCCATTTTGCTTATTTTTTGGCTTGCTTTTAAAATCGGTTTTTTTTTTTTTTTTTAACCCAAAAAATTTTTTTTAACAAATTTTTGGAGGGGTTTTTCAACCGGAAAAACTTTTTCAAATGGGACCACTGTAAACGGGTCGCGGTTTACTGGAGGTCATTTGTTTAACATTTTGGGAAAAAAAATTGGTAGGTTAAAAGGACGTTTAAGGAAAATTTGTAATTTTTTTTGGGGTTTTAAAAATTTGTTTAAACCCAACAGTAAATTGTTTTTTTTTTTTCAGTTGGAGTGACCACATTTATTTATGTCCTGCACAGGCGGGCAAGTTTCTTTCTAACTAAAATTACAATGTTCTGGACATTTTCTAGCTACTTTAATTGTGCTTTTTCCAATGTTCGTTTGTGTGAACTAGTATTACTTTTTTTCAAAGTCCCGTACCTCTGTGTGGTCCGTAATGGTCAATGGAGAAAAATATGACCACAAAATATGTAAAAGTGTCAGCAGAAATTACTTTATTTCGTCAATAAATTGACTGATCAAATTACTGAAAGCATCTAAGATTCTGGAAAGGCTTGAATGAAAGAGTCACAATCAGCACCAAAATTTTGGGTGGGCTGTCCGTCATCACCCTAATGTGCAAGGTTTCCTCACCCAAATTTTAGGGGATGATATATTCTAGCTACCTAGGTACCGTAAGCCGGGGTAATATGAGACAATTTCGGGGTAATATGAGACGCATGATTTATATCGTTAGAATTATAATGCTCGTGGCATTTGATGACTCATCCCAGTCAAACTTCACGGCGAAAAATGGTACCGTGTAGTGTAATTAATTTTTTACAGCCGTGGCTCTCTTTGTGGCCGAATAGCGGGCTCAGAGTGAATCTTACGCGAACCAAACTCCGTCTCATATTACCCCGAAATTGTCTCATATTAAAACCCGGCTTACGGTAGCCCTCTTTTAAGCCCAAATTTCAGTAAACCTTGCCCAAAATTGGGTATTGATCAAGACTCTTTCATTCTCAGTGCTGAAGATACCAATTCCACTCCAGCAGAAAGCGTTGGAAGCTTTTTCTGTTTTTGTGTCGATCGGGCGTCTTTATAGCGAAACGTCACCGCTGTATATTTGCCTCCACACCGCAGAGAAGACGGCCTCACCACCACCACACTTGCCGAGGCGCGAGACCTGGCCGGGGGGCCGAAGGGCGCTACAACAGCGGCGTGAAATTGGGCCATGACCGAAATTGAACACGGCCGAAAGGGCCTGGCCACTCTGCGTGGGCAACGTGCCCAGAAGTGTCCCCCCCCCCCCGTATTATCTAGTCGGCCTGACCCTGCTGCAGACGGATTCCGGAAAGTCGTCGCTGTCTGTGTCCCTCTCGCACCTATACGGGACGCCCCACGAGTGCGAGAGAGAAAGAGCAACGAAAGCGACCCTCGGAGCCTGCCGGGCTCACTATACACGCTGCGGAGAGCCCTCCGCGTGCGTGCTTACGGGTCTCCAACGACAGGCCCCGACCCCCAGCCTGCCCCGCCGTCTCCCGTCCTTTCGGCGTTCATTGGGTCGACAGAGATAAAAGAAGGTTGAGATGCGAATCGCAGCTTCCTCTTCCACTTGCCCTGCCACCCTCCAACTTTGTTCACTATTTCCACCCTCCCTTCTTAGCATGCCCCTCACCACCGCCCCCCTTCCCCCTGCCCGTGGATATTGGAGAACTCTTGAACGTGATTGTCGCAGGGTGAGGTTGCTGGGAGGAGGGGGTAAGGGGCTTTCAGTTCACCGCAACAGCACTCGTTTGCTTAGGCGGCGGCGCTGGCCTGGCCCTGGCCTGGATTGGCAGCAAGAGGCGGCAGGGGAATCGAATCCTTCTTTCGTCTGTTTGCCGACGGTCTCCAACTTCGAAATGCAATGTACCGACAGTTGGAAGCCCCCGAGACGCGGCGAGGGGGCGTTTCCGGGCTTTTTGGCCTCAGCAGCCCAACTGCACTGTTTTTCAGGGGATAGGACATAATACTCGGAAGAATGTGACTTTGTTCGTGTTCGTTGAATGTTGATCCATACATTCAATCAAACCCCTTTGGGCAAACAACTAGAATTTTGCTGTACATTTCCCTTGAAATAATGTGAAATAACGTTGAATTAAAGCTGAAATAACAATGAAATAACGTGAATTTGAAATAATGGTGTACAAATTTTGACGTAGTTGTTTGCCCCTTGGTTCAAACGGCTGTGTCGCCTTCCAACGCATGTGACTTCGTTTTCAAACGAACGTGACCCAATGCCAAGCCAAATTCACATTCTCACGAATGTGACGTCATGTTCCCCGAATAAAAGCGCTCAAAAGGCAAAACTGGAAATACAAAGGCGTAAAAACTGCGCCTGAGAGGGCATAATAGTCTTTCACGCGTAAACACCAATGTAATGCCTTTGAAAGGGCATTTTGGCATCGAAATCGTATAACAAAAGCGCATGGAACCACTCACGGCGTTCCTGCACTCCTGTAAGGTTTTAGGCGTGTGGGCCTTTAATTGTTAACATCCTGTAAACGCATAATTTTAATGCCTTTGTTTCACCAAAGTAGGTTCGTCCACAATCCGCGTTTGGCAAAGGAGCAGAAGCTGGAAAGCACCAACAAAAAATTCCTGCCGAGAGGTAACGACCCGGGTACACGACCCGCAGCCCCACTGCGAAGGGAGAGAAAGGCACTCGCCAAAAGTATTCCGAAGGAAAAGCGAGTTATGCCGCGGCGACAAGAAAACTTTTGGCCCTGATATTAGTTCTGTGGAAACAGCCCATCTCGCCCGGGGAGCGCAGCGAGCGCCTCCGTGCAGCCCAAATTAAATTTAACGATTCCCAACCGGCGCGCGCATTCTTTCTGTGAGAGGTTTCGGCGGCGGTGCTTGCCGGTGGTGTGGTGCTGCACACAGTCAGGCAACGAACTCCAGATGCAAAACGATAGGATGTAGTAACTTTGGGGTAATTTGAGGGTTAATTTGGGACATGGGGCGAAGATGGGACAACTTTTTTTTTTGACAAGATTTGACGGTTTAGAGCCATACTTAATGCGCTGTTTTTATTCCACATTAAGCAAAACATGAGCTCTTAAAGTTCCAATTCTTGCTCAGGAAACAATAACTGTCTCATTTATACCCCTAACCCTACAGGTAGTTCAGAGGAACGGTGCTAGCATGCTTGGTGACTGGAAGTATGGTGGATGCTCTTGCTGGTGCGGTCAGGGAATAGTAGACTAGATGATCGACAGATTGTCAGGTGTACGCCAGACCGTGCCTTATCATACAGGCTTCGCGATGCTGCTTCGACAGTTCCGTCAGTCCAAGGGCTTAGCAATTACACGTACCTATAGCGATGCTGAGCAGACTCTTTCCTGTATGGCCGAGTCCACCCGATACACTTTAAATTTTCGTAAGAAGTTAGTCCGAGACGTTGCAGTAGTTTTTTCAGCTTGTGAACTTTTCGTATACGAATTTATGAGCGATTTTCCTCCTTATTGGGGTAAACATGTCCAGTTTTTCATTTTATGTTCGTACGAAATTTCATCTGCATCAAAGACTGTCAAACCGTCTCGTACCAAATTGAACGTAACAGTCAGTGTGTTCCAAAGAACCATTTACTGTATTTTTTTCGTGAGTGAATCGAACCCGCGAAGCGACGGTCGCCGCTACGTCCGGGAGTGGGTTTTGATTGGTGGCGCGCGCTTCGCGCGGCCTCATCCACCTGCGGCGGCATTTATTATTCCAGAGAGGTAGGCCCGCCGGCAGGCTGATTCCGAGAGTCGCTCTGTCTCTGTCGCACTCATGGGGCGTCCCGTGCAGGTGCGACAGAGACAGAGCGACGAAAAACGGCTCTCGGAATCAGTCTGCGGGGCCAGCCTGTGCCTGCCGGCACCCCGCCCCAGCGCTGATCATCACAATGGAGGCCCGCGAGCACGCTGCTGGGCCAGGCTAAGCCCACCGAGGCCCAGAGACACCGTTTACGCCGAATACCAAGCAGGCCTCCGCAATTCTTTGCGAATCTCGGCCTCGTATCTGACAAGCGAACGGGGACAAATCACGGCAGTACGGCTCGTGCAGCCAGCAGTGTTGATTCCGATGGTCGCTCTGTCTCTCTCGCACCTACGCGGGTCGCTCCATCAATGCGAGAGAGACAGAGCGATGAAACGATCTTTCGGAGCCAGGCGGCTGGACGGTCCTCAGTTTACGGACGGATGTGGCGGCGACGGCGAGGAGGAAAAAGGAAACACGGCCTCCCCACCGTGGGGGTTGGTATACAAAAACAGGTTAATCTGTGCGTCACGCGCGCGACCTCCTCCGCGCGTGGAAAAATAGGCAAACGAGGGACCCCCCCCCCCCCCTCCCTCCCCCCTCCCACCATCCCCCCCCCCCCTCTCTCTCCTGCAAGGATTTGGCTTATCGCCGCGTGTGTACAAGCAAAAGAAGGCAATCGTGGAGCAAATGCCCCGCCATGTGTGAGGCCCTCTTTGTGCGAGGGCGACGTGGCGGCACGCGCGGGCCCCGCCTGCCACTGTAACCTTCGATCGGAATCTGCGGGGCGAAAAAAACAATGACAGGAACGCTGTACGAGAACTTACGCGTCGAAAACGGTTTCTAGTGGTCCCTGGAACTCCTTGTGGAAATCGCCTATGTCTACACTATGTGCTACCTGGAAACCAGAAAATTACTTTTGCCGTGTGATGTTTAACGCACTCGTACGGAATGAATTGGAAAATCTCGGAAAGTGTGAGATCCTACGGTCCATCGGAAATTTCCAACAGCTCCGTTTCCCATAAACCATATTTTTGCTTTTTATCTATTTAAAATTCGCACTAAATAGAAATAAGAGAGTTTTTGGCACTTTTCCAAGATCGGAGGCCGTTTCAAACCCAACAAGTTCTCCGGGAATTTCCCATATTCCTAGTGTTGTGTAGCAAACACTGCATAGAATTCCGTTGTTTGGTACTGAAAATTTGGGAAATGAGTAGAAAATGAGGCACAGGGAAAGTACAGAACAGTTTATGGTGAAGTACGGACGGTTGAAATTAATGATTAATCAGATAAATTCCGTTCTTTTTCTGTATACGTACTTTTTTCGATCGGTCAAGCCTTTAAACGTTTACATTTTTTCCTGCTTGAAAGTTCTTTGATTCACGGACGATCCTGAGTTGGAGTTACTTTCAGGAGCAAACAATTATTATTTACAACCGACACACAAGACACTTGCATCAAAGTGTTTCCACTTGGTCCTGAAAGCCAGCTAATCCTCAGTGTTTTGCGGTGGAGTAACAAGGCCGAGAATCCAGCAACCAGGCCCACCCCATAGTCGCAGCAGACAACAGGTTGTCGGAGAGCGAGACAGCCTTCCGAGATTCCCCACGCGAACAAGAGAGAAAGAGGAAGATCCATGCATTATTCCCACGGTTGTTATGAACGGCCACACGCTGACGAAGCCTTAGTTTCGCCGTATACGCTGGGGTTGGGGACCGTCCCACAGTGGGCCAGAAGACTGTGGAGGCGGTCAAAATCCCGGACGAGGAATCCATTGGTGGGGTCACACGTTCGGTTCCGAGTCCTGTGTGGTGACTCAGGAGCTCAAAACGCGAGGGGGTACTCACTCGGTTTCTTCGGGTACACAGAATATGAATATGCGTGAATACTTGTGAATACTTCTGAATACTAAGAGTCGTGAATATCTCCGAATACAAAAAAACTACGAATATCAAAGAATATGAATGAATATTTGGGAATATGTGCAAATATCCCAGAATATGAGTGAATACTTGAGAATATATGTGATTATGTAAGTTAAAGAATAAAGTTTTTCGGCTAGCCGCGAACCAGGATTCTTCTAGGATCTCATTTTGTCAGTAAGAAACGTCCAAATATGGACCCGAGAGTGATACCAGTAGCTCTCGCGCCGAATGTCGGACAAAAAAACGACGAAATAATGCCAACAGGTACTAAAATACCTCTGAATACTAGGGAATACCCGTGAATACTAAGAGAATACCCGTAAATACTTGCGAATACTTCGAAATATTCTGAATATGTGTGAATATGGAGAATACTTGAGAATACATGAATATTAATGAATATTCAAGAATATAAATATGAATATCCTAGTGGGTACACAGAATACCTCGAGTGAATACCCCCTCGTCAAAACGCGTCTAGAGTTTTCGCCGCCTCCGCCGGTCTTCTGGCCCACTGTGCGTCCCAGACTTGCGAGGTTTGTGTCTTCGCGTCGCTCCCCCCGCCGACGCAGCAGCTGCTGTTGCTGCTTCTCATTTTCAGCACCATTTGAGCCAGGCCTGGCCTCGGCCTGGCCAAGGACAATGTCGCCGTCCTGGGGCGTTTGCTTCGCCGAGACCGCGGGGCCCGGCCCAAACCCGCCAGTCTGATTCCGAGATTCGTTTTCGCCGCTCTGTCTCTCTCTGGAACCTCTACGAGACGCCGCATGAGAGCGAGAGAGACAGAGCGACGGAAAGGACAGACGGCGTCCGAGGCGCAGGGATGCGAGTCGAGTCTCGTTAGAGCCACTGCGGGGGCGATCAGGAACGACCGGGGC